GCTGCTGGAGCACGGCCTGCCCGTGCGGCAGTATTTGCAGGATCACTGGTACCCCAGCCTCAGGCCTCGCCGTGGCCTCGTGGCCGTGGGACGTGTCCCAAAGACGTGGGGGCACCTGGACCTCTGGGTGCCCCCCCTCGTGAGGGGCTCCCCTGGGCCCGGTAGGCACAAAGGGAGACTTTTGAAGGCGGACACCAGAGGCAGTGACTCAGAAATACGGCCACACGTGGGGTTCTGGCTCAAGAGCCCGAACCGCCTCTGGGGGTCCTCACGTTAGAGCACCACGTTAGAGCCCACACCGTGGTTCTGCGCAGGTCCCCATCTTGGCGCTCCCACGTTGGACTGTTTGACCTCAACTAGGAGACACTTTGGGTTGTCACGACTTGGGCGAGGAGGGAACTATTCCTGTTCTGTGGGCGGAGGCCAGAGAGGCTGCTAAGTACTCTACGACGTCCAGGATGCCTCCTGGCAGCGGTGCATTACCCCACCCCAAATGTCAGTAACGAGCGGGTTGGCCCGGCCGTGCGACACCATCAAAAATGGTCTGGGGACTCAACGCTGTCTTTGTTTGTTTGTTTGTTTTTAATTTTATTTGTTCATGAGAGACACAGAGAGAGGCAGAAACGTAGGCAGAGGGAGAAGCAGGCTCCATGCAGGGAGCCTGATGCGGGACTCGATCCCAGGATCTTGGGATCATGCCCTGGGCCGAAGGCAGACGCTCAACTGCTGAGCCACCCAGGTGTCCCTCAACACTGTCTTTGAAAGGTGAAAGCACCCGGTCCCCTCACCTGAAGGCAGGAAACGTGTTTGATGTCTCCACTCCCCCTTCTCTGTTTCCAGGTCTCTGGCACTCAGACCCTCACTGAGTCCCCCGTCTCCTCAAGTCTAGGCTGCAAACATGTACACATCAGCTCAGAGGGGAAATATATGAGAGAAGCAATATCTTCGTATTCTCAACAATTTTTCTCCTCTGAGCTCAGAGAGCTTTTCCAGGACAATGTTACTTTATATTCCTATAATATAATCCAAGAAGGGATTGCTCTTCTCACTCTCCAGATAGACATATTTCCCAGAGAGCTGTTCCTGACAGCTAGTTAGTGGGAGAACTGGATCAGAATCGATAAGTCCTGAGTACCCCCCCTTTTTTTTATTTTTACAAAATGAAAACAGTTTTTTTCCTGATTATAAAAATGATACATGCACATTGTTCTTAAAAAAAAATTCAAACAGTACAGAAAAACATAAGGAAGAAAAATAAAAAATTACCCAAATCCCTTCAGCAAGAGATATAAACAAATGTAGACATTTTGGTGCCAATCCTTCCAGTCCTCTCTGCATGCGGGCGTGCATGTACTTTACCCACAACACCCTGCTGGCCGCTCCCGGGTCTCTCCACCTGCCCCTCGCATTCTGGGCTCTGCTGCAAGGCCGTCCGGGGCATGGCAGGGTGCTCAGCAGCATCCCAGGCCTCTACCCATTAGATGCTCAGAGCATCTCCCCATCCCTGAACTCTGAGAACCCAAATGTCCCCCCCAGAGGGAGGAGGCAAAACGGACCCTAGTTGAGAACCCCGGAGATAAATGGAATCATGATTCTACTGCTCTGTTTATACCCAATGTTTGGAGAGAGAGAAGGTGGGGGCGGAAAGAGTAAGGGTTTTGACTGTTGTGTCCCTTGGTATTTAGCATCAGAGTCGCGGGCAGGGGGCGGGGACCAGCTGTGATGTTTATGAGGTCAGAGCTGCAGGTAGATGACCTGAGGTCTCCAGAAACAGGGACAGGGCGCCTGTGCCGGGAATGACCCCACGGGCCTGTCCGAAGTCCTTGCTTGGGTGGTGTCACCACGTGCCTGGCTCTGTGGCTCTGGTGGCAGGGACCCCAGGGCCAGAGGGAGGCTGGCCCCTCCTCGGGGACGAGGCCGGCTGCAGGGTTTCAGGGTGATTTATTCCAGGCACCGAGGCAAGAGGAGCAGCAAGGGGGCTGGTGCAGACAGCGTCGTGAGGTTCTGTTTGTGGGCTTTGTTTTTTAATTCAATTCTTTTGGAAAACAGATAAGCACACGTCTGCTTCAATCTAGTGTGCTAGGTTTTTTCTTTTCGTGTAAACTTTGGTTTCTTTTGAGCTTTAGATATTAAAAAAAAAAGACAAATGTATGAGATCAGTTGGAGGTTTAAGCAAATTGGTTTATTCCATTGCCGGGGGAATTGGGGTGGATGAGTCACAGTCCTCCGGTTGTCGGATTTTTACAAAGTAGCGTATGGTTTCAATGCTGGTGCAAAGCCTCTGGCTCCTTGCTCTCCCCACCCCCACCCACACCCTTGCCCCTCCTCTGCATGCACACCCCTGGGTCTCCCTCAAAATGCAGACTCCAGCACCCGCCCCTCACCCAGCCCAGTGGGACCAGGAGAGCCTGGCTGCTTCCTAAAATGATCCCCACTCCCTGAAACATCAGTGCACCCCCCAGCCTCAGGGTAACAAGTACAGTTCTTTCCAGGGCCCACAGGCCTTGCGCAGACCCTGGCTTTCTCCCAGGTGGCCCAACCTTCCTTGGGCCCCCCTGCTCCCGTGGTTCCCTCCCACAGGGCCTTTGCACATGCAGTCTGCCCCTGTGCCGGGTAATGCCTCCCTGTCCTTTGGATCTCGGCCCCACAGAGCATCATCTGGGTCGGGACCAGCCCCCTCTGCTGCACGTCATCGTTGGTGGCAGTTTGACACCTGTTTCTGTGATTATCCAATTAATCTCATTGGGCCATAAGCACCCTGATGGCCGAGGCACAGCCGATGAATATCTGAAGGAAGGAAGGCAAGAAGAAGGGAAGGCGGGAGGGGAGTCCCCTCCATCTTTAGAAGTGTGATTTTCTTTTTTTTTTTTTTAACCTTCAACATCCCAGTCTTCCATATTCACGTGGCACCTGAGTATCAGCACTCTCTGCCCGCCTCTCCTCCCCTCCTGGGGACCGAGGTGAGCATCTCCCATTAGTGGATTGGGGAGACACATCCATTAAGCACCTGCGATGGCCATCCGCTACCAGCCAGCGCGGGGGAGGAGGAATGACTCAGTGCCTCCCCGGCAGGAGTGACCAAATGGCCCGCTCCAGCCTTCCCGAGGAGCCGTCCTCCGCCCGTAATGGAGAAATTATGTGAGGCGTAATTTATAGTAAAAATCAAATGAACATTAATTCTGGTGAGTCACCCATGCAGAAAGGGCACCCGGCGGCTGTGGACGTGGGCTGCGGTGGAGGACAGCTAAATGTTCAATCAGAGACAGGGGACCGCACCGCACACTGTGGGTCCCAAAGTTTGGGGCGGCGGGTGGGCGCAGCAGCACGGGTCCACCGCACCTCGGGCTCCCGAGCTGGGAGGGCACTTGGCCAACGGCCAGTTAAGCTCCCCTATTTCATAAAGGGGGCCTCCAAGACCGCAGGAGATGCCAACCTGCCGCATGTCCTGCCCAAACCGCCTTCCCCAACTGTGCCCATTGTGCGTCTTTGGGGCCCCCTCTGCACCGGGGGGCTGGCACTCCTCTCTCCTCCCTCTGCCAGCGCCCTCTCCCCGTTCAGGGGCTCCCATCGACCGAGGGGGGGACGCCTCCAGGCTTCTCGAAGGAACTTTCCCAAATGCAAGCTGGATTGTCAATGTGTCTAAAATGCTTCAAGTGGCTCATCCCTGCCCTCTCAGTAAAATCCAAGCTGGGGCGGTGGGGGGAGGTTGGGGGAGTCCTGAGGGTCAAGACCACCCCATGCATTCCCCCTCCCCAACACAGGCACACACTTCCCTTCCGCCTGGCTAGCTGGCTACCTCCTCCTCATTCCGTGTCCATGCCGCCTCCTTCAGGCAGTCCTCCCTGCTTCTCCTGGCCAAGACCCTGTCATTCACAGGGTCACAGGCTCTGAGCTCTACATGCACAGACCCACGTCCATCTTGTCCTCTTCTGCGTCCCTGCGGCATACGTCATTTCAGACTGCTGTGGGGAGGGATGGGTAGTGGCTGGCCCCAGAGAACTGGGGATGGCCGGGGGGGGGCACCTCTACTTCCCTTCCCCTGCCCTTTCCGGACCTCTTCCCAGGAGGAGGATGGTCCGCAGGAAAGCCAAGTTGGGGGGTGCCCCACCACAGCCACCCCGGCCTTGGTCAGGGGACAGGGACCCCGTCACGGCCCTGGTCTGGACCACAGGCATCACAGCTAGCTGTGAAGGAACAGGCCACAGATGGCTCCCATTCACAGGCAGGTGCCAATGCCCAGTACACAGGAACACCTTCTTTCTGAGAAGATGGTATCAGTCCCAATTCACCTGATTACGAGAACATTCTTCCTTTTGAGAAAGTGAAGAGTGTCAATGGAGTTTGGGGAGATACTTTGGGGCAGACAGGGCCCCTGCCCTGGACTTCCTTCCTCCAAGAGTGTGTTCTGGGTTTTCTTCAACTTGTGCAGACCGTGGCCTGCAGCTGGGAAGCCCAGACCCCACAGACTCAGGGCCATGGGGAGAGCACCTGCCAGGCCCGAAGTGGTCATGGAGGCTCAGGAGTTCCAGCCCAAGGAGGCCTGGGCCTTTCCCGGGAGGTCCTGGTGCACACTCTGGAGTATTAGGGCTTCCGGGCAAGAAACCCACCCCCCTCCTGTGACCTACCTCGGGCTCAGCACCACCCCTCTGACCTACCCACTGCCCCGCTGGTCCCAGCCAGGGCCCTAGATGCCTCCCGGGCACCAGCTCTTCTCCCTCACCAGGTATCCGGGCCAACTTCCTCTCTCCTGTCCAGTCACCCCCACATAAGGGACCGTCCTCTCTTGTCTCTTCTTCCTGATGCTGGCTGTGCACCTGCTGGTGCCAGCATCCTAGGACATGCAGGGACACCAGTGGGCAGAGTAGAGCAGCGCCCCCATACTGTGCAGCCTGCATTCAGGCAGAAGAGGAACCCCTTACACTGTAAATACACAATACTGTGAGTCAGGGCACAGAAGAGAGAAGAGAGATGAGGATGGGGGGTGACGGGGCATCCAGAGCCCACGTGGGTGCGATTTTACCTTAGTTCTCTCTCTGTGTGCTGACCTGCATCCAGGAAGGCCTGGTGTCTCAGTTTCTATTTCTCATGAGACTGGGCCACACGTGCCTATATTTTAAAAAAACTTTTCATTTTAAAATCGTTTTAGATCTACAGAAAAGTTACCAAGAGAGTCCAGAGTTTCTGTGCGCCCAGCACCCAGTTCCTACTATTGTTGCATTGCTGGGCTAATTTGCCACGATTACTGAGCCAATATTGATACATTATTAACTCAACTCCAGGTGTTACTCAGGTTTCACCAAAAGCCCTTTTTTTTCTGTTGCAGGATCCATTCCTGGACACATTACATTTTACTGATAGGTCTCCTCTTGGCTTTGAGTTTCTCGGATTTCCCTTGTGTCTAATGACCTTGACCATCCTGAGGAGTGCTGGTGGATATTTTGTAGGACGTCCCCAGGGTTGGGTTCATACTTGGATTGGGACGATGGGTTCAGGAGGGACTCTTGGACGTGGAGGCTACTCATCATGCCCTACCTGGGTCCGTGTTCCCGACCAACAGTCAATGGGAGATGTGAACCTCGGCCCACAGTGGGTAGTTGTGTCCCCGCTTCTAAAGGGGCTTTTATATGAATTCTTTGCAATTCTCCATACAAGAGATTTGTCTCTCACATGCATTCCTCTATTTATTCAGTTATCTACAACAGTGTAGACTGGATCCTAATCCCGGGCTAGCCTGTGAGTCAAATGGTTCCACTCTGGGTCCCTGGGAGCACTCCGGGTGGCTCCTGTGTCCCTTGCCGGGCCCTCGTTTTGGTTTTTGAGCACATCCTTACTTTCTGCCATGATGCCGGGCTCCAGGCTCATCACAGTCCTCGCCTCAGCCCAGGAAGAAGCTCTTGTAACAAGGAGGCTGATTCCTTCCACCAGATACTGGCATCGGAGACCAAGTCCGAGGTGGGGCACGGCTGCGGCTGCTGGGGTGACCCTGCTTCCAGGGCTTCCCAGGGCCCCGAGCAGAGCTGGGAAATCCGTCTGTGTACTGTGCCCACGATGCACACTGATCTAGAGCTATTTCTGCAATGTCGGATCAAAGGCCCTCCAACACCAGGACCTGCGGAAGGGCACAGACTCCACATCTCAGCTACCCTGGGGCAGGAGGATCGAGTCCAGAGCAGATGGTATGTGAAATCTTTTTTTGTCCTGATTTATTTCTTCCCATCAGGTCAAGGTAAAACTTGGGTAAGTCTCTTAACTGTAGTCTCCCAGTGGGGTGTGGGATCCCTCCCAGGACACCAGGTGATGTCTGGAGATGGGCAGAGGGGCAGCCACTGGCATCTGGTGGGGGCAGAGGCCCAGGGTGTGGCCAGGCACCCACCGTCCCCAGGACGGTCCGCACATGGACAGTGGGCCAGCCTCAAGTATCAGTGATGCGGAAGGTGGGGAAGCCCAGGGCCTGGACACAGGGTGGGGAGCGCGGGGTCTCCAGATTAAACCTGCAGCCTGTCCTCCTGTTCTGCCCGAGTGCAGGTACACAGAACACTAACATGCTACCTAATTCCTAGTTCTCCTGTACAGCCTTCCACTCCCCACGGAGGGAACGCCTCGAAGGGACTCCTGCTTCTCCTGTGCAGCTCGGCGGGGCCGGCGTGCCCACGGCTGAACGGGCGGCAGGGAGGAGGAGGTCACAGTGGGCAGAAGCCACGAGGAAGGAAGGCTGGCCTTGGCAAGGACGGGCATGTGGTCTTCGCTGGGGACAGGAGGAAAAGCTACAGGCGAGAGAAGCAGGTGGCGGTTGGCATTACAGCTGTGCTGGCGGTGGGGAGTGGGTGGGGGTGCCTGGCCCCAGAACCGGACCATTAGGCCCATTACCCACCCCCACCCCGAGACGCGGGCTCCAGAGCTGCTGATGCTGAGCCTCCCCTGCAGCTGCACTCTGGGAGCAGAGGCCCTGTCCTTCGTTCCTCTCTCGGCCTCTCATAGTGCCCGCGGCCAGAGCGGCCCGAGCACTGTCAGGAAGCCGCCCGGCACTTGGGACACTCCTTCAGTTGCCTTTTTCATGTCCCAAGGGTCTGAATTTTTCTGCGCTGTCCATCCAGCTGCCTGCTTAGTTCCAAGTGTGTGACAAAGACAGGCCCTGCCCTCAGGGGTTCAGTCTGCGGGGGGAGCCAGGCATTAGGAAAGTAAGTTCTACGCTATGGTAAGTGCCACGAAGGAAGAGAGCCACCTGTGACCGTGGGAGAGGACGGGGGGGGGGTACCCGGGCATCATGCTCCCTGCGGAGCTCCTAGAGCAGCAGCCACGAGCTCCAGGGAACCAGAGAAAAGGCGAGGGAGCCATGGGTGCGAGGCGAGCAGGGAGGGCTCTATGGAGAACGAACAAAGAGAAAGACGTCTACTCTACTCAAGCTCAGGTATTTATTAGGCACCCACTGCACACCTTGGGAGAAGGCCTGGCTGGTGAACATAGTAATCCCCAGGACAGCTCTGGCCCCCATCCCACAAGCTCTCGGACTAGAATAGGGGCAGCAAACATTACCAGCAAAACTACAGGGATGATGGGGGCTGTGAGAGCTGGGTGGCAGGGGGCTCCCTGCAGGTGGGAAGCCAGGGTGAGAAAGACCCCTCTGGCCCCCAGGAGAGGAAGAGCAGGCCCAGGTGCAGGTCTTCAGGCAACTGTGGGCTGAACAGCGTGTGGAACATTTGGGGACATTTGGGGGCAATGCTGGTGGTCAAGGCCAAGCTCAGAGGGTGGGCTGTACTGCAGGTAGCCACAGGAGGCTTGGGGCAGAACAACAGTAGCACAGGCCACCGCGTGGGGGACTCGCTGGTGGGGGGGCAGGCTCCCCATGTCCCGCCTCCTGACAGTACAGCCCAGCCAGTGGGCGCAGCGCTCCTCAGAGCCCTTCAGGAAAGCCTCCACCCAACCCTCTGAATCCAGCACAACAGGATTGGGGGGTGCCCTCCGGAAGAGCCCTTCATCTTCATCACCCCTCCCGGCCCGGCCCCGCACGGGGACCTCTGGTGGCCCCAGGTGGACAGAGACGGCACAGGACACCGGTGGCCCCTCTCTGCCTCCCAAGGGCTAATGCCACCACGAACCTCATGGACTCCACTCAAACATGCGCATGGAAGCCTGCCTTCCGACCGCCCGCTCCCCATCCCAGTTCAAAGGCAGCGCTGTTGACTTTGAAGAAACGGCCTTTGAACGTGGGTTTGCAGGGGCCTTGGCGGCAGGCTCTGAGCACCACGGAGAGGAACTTCATCACGGCTCTGTCTCGGCCTCACGCGCTGACAGCCGGCCTCAGCAGTTCATCTTCTGAAGGCTTCTCCCTGAAGGTTCTGTCGCCACCTTGATTTGAGCAGCGGGTGCGTGCTCACGACGCTGTTCTGTGCGGGGCCCCAGGAGAAGAGTCTATGAACAATGGCCTAACTTGAGTGTTGCCACCACGGCGAACCCCTGCCTCGTTCTGAACAAAAGCTGCAAATCAAAAAGGAGCTGTCAGTTCACTCCTGGGGAAGCAGGAGGCTGGTCCTTCCTGGTGGTGCAAAACCACGGGAGCGCAGCCTGCCCTCCGCCCTCAGCCCACCGTGCGCCCCGCGTCCTGCTCCAGGGCTCACCCCCGCCGCCGACTTCGGTGGTTCTAGGCCGATGGCACTGGAGGGTGAGGAGTGTCAACGGGAGCCTGGACGTTCTGCCTAGAACATTCGCTGCGGCCGAGAGGAGATAGTGAGAAGATGACGACGGCACCCAGAGCAGGAAGAGGACTCTGAGTGGGACCTTCTCCTCGGGGGGGCAGAAGACCACAGACCTAACAGCCTGGCGCCCCAGACAAGCAGATAGTGGGGAGACAGGCCCATGGCCACCCCAACCAAGGTCACCGCATTCCACATTTATTATGCAGCAGTACAAAGTGTTTGCTCTGTGGATGTTCCGTTATTAATTTTTTTTTTTAACAGATGGTCTGGAGTTCCCTGCTTTCACCTGATATGTCTTGGCAGTAAACTGGTACAGTAAATCCTCTCATTTCAGGTGGCTTTGGGTGGTGGGGTTGCCACTGTGAATTAATCAAGCCATCTTACAGAAGCCCGGTGGCGAACCCAAAGTGAGTTCTGACGCGCAGTGTCTGTAAGGGGCCACCGCCCGGCCTGTGCTCAAAGCTACAAATGACTCAACTCCCAACCGACATTTGCAGAGAACGTGCCTTAGAAACCCTTAAGAATGGCTGGCAAAGATCAGTCTTTATCTCCTAAGACCTTGTTCACACAAATCTATGTTTTTAGCTGACCTTTCCTTCAGAGAGCAAAGGGTAAACGCCCATGGAGAAGAGTCTGAAGCATTAAGATGTCAAATCAAGGAGGTGGCATTAACAAGGCTCAATGGTGCTGGAGTTTCAAAGGGGACACTGTTGCTGGAGGTTCCAAGGACACCCGACAGCAAATAGACTTGGGGTAGAAAGAAAGCAGAAAAGGGGAAGGGTTAACAGGATAAACAAAGCCAGACACACAGACACACATGCACACACACCACAACCCCCAAGGTCACATTCAGGGGGCTTTTCTACTTGATCTTTCCTCCAATGGCCAGAAGAGCCATCAGAGCAACTTATATTTACAGGCAATCTCTAGACTATTGTCTCTTGTCAATCTGAGAGAGAAGCAGCAATGGTTTTGGAAACGTGGCCCCTTTTCTGAAGAGAGAGAACGGGTGGTTCACGAAATCAGCCGCGAGCCACATTCTCCAAGGCCTTCCTGTGTGATGATCTTAGATCATCCACCCACAGTTGACCCCAGAGCCTCGGCCAGCCAAGAGCAAAGCACAAGGAGTCAAGATTTCAAGTCAAACCTTCTCTCACATCTTTCTGGTCGGCAAGAGGAAGGAGACAGAACTTGGCGGGCCTGTTGATCTTTTCAAGCAGGGACAGAGGCTAGGGAACCCAAGAAGACACAAGGCAGTTGAATTCGTGGCCTCGTTCACCATCGAATGACTGCGCCGATGAAAACCCATCGTCTCTGTACCCAACTGGCATTCCAGACAAGGAAACACATGCAGATGCCACCACTTATCTGAGACCACATGGCCAGGTCCAGAGCAGGTCCGAGAGGTCCCCTGGGCCAAGGGGACCATAGGAACCCCCACCCCAGGGACTCTCCTGAGAAAGGGGCATGGAGAGCAGTCGACATCATTACTGCAGCTGCGCCACCTAGTGGTGAGGGACTGGGGCACTTTGTGGCACGGTCCCAGCCCCTGGGAACATTGATCACCCAAAGAGAGGAAGACGGAGGGCAGGGCTCCAAGCCAACATGGAAGACCTCTTCACAGTGCACCCACACTGAGCATGGTCACCCACACACCCACTTAGTTGACCATTTTCATGGGACGTGAGGCGTGGCTTCAGGCACTGACCTCTCAAGGCTCACTGTCCTCCCCTACCTGAGAGTGAAAATGGGGAGTCTCTGGAACTCCACATGTACAGGTCCTACTGCTCCTTCCAGAAGTGCAGGTGAGAGGGAAGGCACTGCTGGAAATCGGGTCACCATGCACACACTGGCGTCTGCCCTCAGCCTGCCCACACTCTAATAGTCACATCCCACACCCCAGTCAGTGCTCCAAGGCCACCTTGCCCCAAGGCCATGTCTGCTCCAGGCTGGAAGGAACCAGCTCTGACCGTAGGCTGACAAACATTCCAGAAGTAACAGGGACCCTCCTCTACGCTGTCAAGAAACAGGCCTCAGAGCGAAAGCCTCCTTCAGACTGGACCACGTCAGGAAATCAGACCCCAGCTACCCCAGCTCAGCTCTGTTCAAATCAGATTGACCTCTCACCGCTAGCACATCCTTAGGCAAGCACTGTGAGCCTCCCAATGCATCCCAAACATACTCATCATCCCCGCTGACCATCCCCACTGACGGGACCAGTCAGGCCTCCTCTGGACCAGCTGGTCTCCCAGCTGCTCCTCTTGCCTCTGGCAATGCCTCTTCCACACAGTAGCAGAGAGGGCGGAGAGGTGGTGGATTCAGACCCTGGCCCTGGTCCAGCCCATCCCCTCCCTCTCACTCCTGCAGCCAGCTCTTCCCACCCCAAGCCCTTCTCCTAGTGTGCGACACACGGGGACACAGGGGCTCCTGACTCAGCCCCAGCACCACCTCAGACTCCTGCCTGGAGCTCCCCCCTCCCATCCCTAAGCAGCGGTTCAGAAGGTGGGCTCTGGAGTTGGAATCCTGACTCCACACCGTCCAGCTGTATGGCCTTGCACAGGCTATCTGACCCGGGTGCCTCAGGTCCCCGGGGAAGTTGCTATGAAGATTGTATGAATTACTGTATTTCCCTAATGCCTTGGATGCGGGAGGCACCACGAGACATACCCAATAAAGGAGCAAACAAGTCAGGAGCAAGCTTGGGGCTTTCCCAAGCGTGAGGCTGGTTGTGTGTGCGTCTCTCCCACAGAAGACGTGGTTCTTCAGAAGAGGAGTGGTCTCCCCAGCCCTCACACTGGGGCCCCGACGGCCCAGCCGCACCACGGCTGCCTCGGGTTCTTCCCAGGGGCCTGGATAAACAGGAGGTTCTGCGCAGCCCCAGTCAAGGGCCCCAAGAGCCCCCTGAGCACCACCCCCCACCCTCCTGCCTTCCTCCTCCGCTCTGGAAGCCACATCCAGGTTCCAGACCCGCTCCGGCCTCCCCAGGCCTCCCCAAGCCCATCCTCGTGGCTGAGAGGCCCGGAGCCGCACGGGTGCTGGCATGGCCACAGACACTGCCCTAACCCTGTGGTGTTCCTACTCAGGTTACCGAGGGGCCACAGCGAGGGAAACCGGCAGCCGAGCCGCCTCCAGGGGCCTGCCAGAGGCCCTCGTGCGAGCTCGTTGCCCCCTTCCCAGGCCGGGCCACTCCGCGCTCTCCCATGAGCCCAGGTCTCCCAAGATCAATGTCATGGCAAAGTCAAGGAGGCCCCAGCCAGCAGTTGGGTGGCTAATTCTGACAGCCCTCGCCCCTTCTGAGATAATAATAGGTCCACTTCACTGCACGGAGAGCAAGTGCAAATGCCTACAGAGGCCAGGCCCTGCTCAGAGATGAGTGACGAGGCCAGGTGGCGGCCAGCGCGGTGGCGGTCCTGGGCTCCCCGACAGGGGGCGGCCGCCCCTCGGCGACGGCCGCCTGTGGACAGGGCCCCGGGCGGCTAGAGGCTCCCGGGAGTGGGCCAGGGGAAGTCAACCTCCAAGTTTTGGGAGCATCTCCTAGTCCCTAAACATTGGCGGCTACCATGATGGAGACTTAGGAAAACTGTTGTGTGCGGTTGAAGCACAAGCTGTTTCTGGGGGGGATGGGCGAGCCGGGCGGTTTCCAAGTCCCTTCCAGAAGGGCGGGCGGCTTTCCCCGACATCAGTTTTTGCCGGTAGTAATAGCGGCCACCGTTTCGGGACTTATTCTGGGCGTCAGGGGCTGCTCATCTAGTTTAAGGGCGCAGAGCCTTGGTTCCTTCCTCGTGAACCAGGAGACCGACTGGGCAGGCCATCGAGGCGCCCCCAGGGGCGCGGGGCAGACAGCGGGGGGCTGAGGTTGGCGCTCGGTTCCGCGTGACACCAGAACCAGGGACCTCACCCACAAGGCTTGCTCCCTGGGGCCGTTCCTGCGAGCGAGGGGGCTCAACCCCGCTGACCTCTGGGCTCCACACTTGTCCTTGGCGTTTCCCCACGTTTCCGTCCGCCCCCGCCCCGGCCCGCCGGCGCCTACCGCTTACTCAAATGACCCTCCTGCTACCTCTTCACTGAACTGCACATGCTGGGCTCCTTCCCAGGCACTAATCCTTCCCAGCTCTCCTGACCATATCTAGCCATGGTAGTGCAGTGTCCTCCAAATCCCCCTGCCCCTCTATCCTGCTGCCAACGGAGCTTCCATTTGGCCTGTGACATTTAAAAATATCTGTCCAGCCTTGGCATATAGAACCCAATACCCCCAGCTGTTTAAATACCACTGCCTCATTCGGCCTGCACATGCCCGTGCTTCCAGTAAAAGCGTAAGTTGACCCAGAACATCGGGCCACCAGAACCCTCTATTCCAATCACGCCAATCTTAATTTGGCTCCTCCGTCAAGTGTACCATCCGCTGGAGCCCATTCCTGTCCCTACAAGGAGAAGACAGGCGTGGGCCCGGGGGGCTTTGAGCGGCAGGGCAAGGTGTGGGCCATCTGTGTGCCCAGGACACGGGAGCACATGCCTGCAGCATGGTGTGATGTCCGCCACAGCTGTCCCTGCCCTCCCTGGCTTCCCACCCCACTGGGCCCCATGGCCCTGCTATTAATATAGCGCCAAGAGGCCCAGCAGCTGGCCGTGGCAAAATCTTTCCACACGGACAGTGACAACTGACATCACACTGATTTGGGCTCTGTACGTTCCAAATGTGCATTCTTTTAGAAAGAGCACTGCTGAAATTTGCCTGGTCGCTGAAAATGTGTCTATGTTGTTTCGGGAATTGGGAAAACATCT